ATTTTTTATAACATATTTATTAAAAAATTATTATTTTTAAAATTAAGTTTAAAGTGAATTTGATTTAGTATTTTTTATAACATATTTATTAAAAAAATTATTATTTTTAAATTTAAATTTAAAGTAAAAAATTTTTAATTGTAAATTTTAATGATTGAATTAAAATATATTAATTATTTTTTAAATTTAAGTGCTAATTTCTTCGTGCCCTGCAAAAATCAAAGGAGACCAAATCATTCGAATGTGAAGCTTCTGCATGCCAACAATTTCCATTCCAAATTGCGATGAAAAGTCTACTATTCAATGGATTCACCCTTCTTAACGTGATGCCTCCGTTGTCTAGTTGACAGTTACGTACCAATACGTGACAAGTGAGTAGGTTAAATGTCAATTTTGGTTTTTTAATTTTAAGGTTTTACATAATTTTTATTTTTTAATTTTTTAATGTATTTTTTTTATCCTTCAATTATGAAAAATGTATTTTTTAATTATTTTATTAGTTAGTATATTAAGTTTACTTAAATATGTATATTTGTAACTAAAGGACCAAGTTTGGGTCAAAATGGAAATAGTAGGAATCAAATCAGAAATTTTTTGAGTTGAGAGACTCAATCGGGGTTTGTATAATAGTTTAGGGACCAAAAAGGGGTTTAACCAACATACAATTAACTTATAGTAACTTAACCTTTTGGTCCTTGAACTTTACAAGTATTAGAAAAAAATCCTAAAATTAACAGCAAATATTGGTAATGTCCGTCACGTGATCATTAGGGTTCCGTCCCTGTCCCGTGAGAGCCATACATGGGCTCCGATTCGCCACACGGACTGCCAAATTTGTTTGAGTTGCTCAGTGAAAATCATGGGAGCGCCAGGTTTGTTCAATAGATGGGATTATTGCAAGTTGCAACACTACCCATGGTTAATATTACACCTTTTCAAGTTGGCTGACTATTATGTCCATTTGTCAATTTTACTCTTTTATAATTACCCACTTTTTTGAAAAAAAATTGAGCCCCTTCGTTTCACACTTGAATCCAAATTTGTTGTTGTTTGTTTTGTGCATGAAAAGAACAAAATCCCTCAATTGTGAGCATAAAAGAAAGGATTAATTAAGATGAATAGGAAAATACTTAAACTCATTTATAATTATCTTAAATTTACAATTAATCTCATTTTCATGGAACTATTTAAAATAGCATTGGTATTCTACCCTAATATGCTTCTCACATCAAGGCGTTTACATTTTATCCCCAAATTCTTACTACTTCTTCATAGTTCTTAGCAATCCATTTCTCAAAATAAAAAGAAAAATTCAAAATGCATCCAATTTTCTGCCCCAAAAAAATGTTATATTGCAATCGTTTGCCATGCGGTTTTGTATTTTTAACTTTAGTATAAGTCAATTTTCTCCCCTATTCTTAATTTTCTAGCCAAACAACCCAAAATCCTATTCGATTAAATTTAGAATTCCTATTTTCCAGTCTCATCATCACCCTTGAGAAGGCCAGCTAGCAACGTTTTTGTCATCCCAACATAGGTTTTGTTAAGAGTTGTTTTTTCATGATACTTTTTCATATAATATTTTATAAAAATATTAATTTATAAATTAATATTTATAAAAAAATAAATATTAATGATTAAAATAAATATTTTAAATTAATTTTAAACACTACAAAAATAATAATTTTTTTAATTAACAAAAAATAAATTTTATCATAGGAAATATAACAAGTGCTCTTATCCATTCGAAAATTTGAGTTTAGAAACAAAACCAAACCCAGAAATTAAATAATCCTTAATTAACCCTCAAACAAACACCTTATAAAATTACAGAAGCGACGATTGGAATAGTGCAGGAGGGAGGACGCGGCGCAGAAATGTTAAAGGTTTAGATAATTTCATTCCAACATTTTTATTTGAAATATTAAAGATTAAAAAG